TAAGTATAGTAAAAAGTTTATATTTTACAAAATGATAAAATGGGTACATTCCATACTTTGAAATCCAACTAATGTCTCATAGTGTTACTTGAAGTGAATCGGTGTTATTCTAATGGGTTAAAATTAATCCTTGGTTCAAGCTTATCAACAATAAAATTTATATTAGTCCATATTTTGAAATAAACATAAGAAATCTGTGCAATGATCAAGAATACGGTTTTAGATGAAATTTTAGACTCTCAGTTTTAAATGAAAGAATCATAAAATAGTTTGCCATTATATCGAAATAAAAATCTTCATTAAGTTGTTGTACTTAACAACAATTTCTTATACTACTGAACGTGTTGCACTAGTTAGTTAACATATTATAAGCAGTATCACCATGGTTACTGTGAGTAGTCAGTTGATTAATTTCAGCACTATCAAGAATGAACTAGGCTAGGGAATTTTTGTTGAATGTTTGTTAAACTACTTTATAATATGAAATTCAATTTTGAATAGACAGACAATGAAACATACAGTTATGATGAACTCACACTATAAATGTATATATTACTCAAAAAAGTCATTTGAATATAATCAAAGTAACGAAAGATTTGATAATGAATATAAACATCTAATCTATATCTCTTATGCCGTAAAGTAATTTTCAAACCAAATGAAAATATTTATAAAAAAAGCTATTCGTATTAGATCAGTTTTAATCTTTAATTTTTAGAACGAGAAATTTCATGTCATTTTGTTATTATTATCAAAGTACTTGGACAGTGCACCAAATAAACATATAACGTCTCAACTTAAACATCAACTTTGAAAATAGTAATATCAAAACACCTTAACACGCTTCAATTAAACTATGCATAAACATTCAATGGTCGACAAACTTTAAACATTAATATTGTGATAGTTGTTGAAAATAATCTCCCATTTCAAGCATTTTTGTTACGCAATATATATATATATATATATATATATATATATATATATATATATATATATATATATATATATATATATATACCTAGTTGGTTTGTGTGTAACTCATTTATTTCTGTGTAAGGAGACAGTTTACAAATTAAAATCCCAATTCCGTTCTTACTGAACTATGTAGTTAACTTAGAATGTAACCAATACGTGATGTATATAGGCGTTAAATATTTGTAGTTCTGTTTAACTACTAATATTCATTATTCACTATGACATGATCCACCAGTGTATCGAGAAACATTTCGATGAGGAAAAAATGATAAACAAAGATGTATGGTGGCTAGCAGAGGAATCTAAGACGCGCCTTTCGTCCTATATGAGACTCGTCAACTGGATGTGCCTGCATTTCAGAGTTGATGTTCATTCCGAGACTCAAACCCTGAACCGTTCGCACCAAACGCCATCGCGTTATTCACTAAGCCACTGGGTTCTGATAGCCACTTGCTTGTGTAATTACTGCTATTGAATTTATATCACATAAATAATCATAACTCGAACGAAATCAAAGTTCACAAATGTAACTCCTTTAGATATCTGAACGACAAGCCGTAGGTTGAACTGACTATTATGAAATATTTAAAAGCAACAGAAATTCACATCACAAATTTTTTTTAAAAACCAAGATTAACAAGGGCTTATCACACATATCTGATTAGCTTATCATCATAGTTATAACCTTATAATTATAAAATATGAATCACTAAATAGTAATCAAATAACTTACTCTTGTATCTTAGAATACAGTACACTAAATGAAATGTGTTGCATTCACACATTTCTTATCACTACTTTATTTAAATATTAAATACATTGTTTGCCTATGTTTATCTAATTTCACATAGTATTACATCATTGTTTAAAATCAAAAAAATTGTTTTGATTATCCATACAAATTATACTGAATAAATCAATATAAAACTATTTACAAACATAACAAACAACAAATATAAACACTTTTCTCAAGTATCTTTATTTATAAACTAATAGTAATGTACACAGTTCACTATTAATTATTGATTTCTATCAGTATTGATTTTTTAATCCAACTGAGAAAAATGTACATGTAAAATAATAACTAACTAACTTGTTTGTTACTATATGACTTAAACACAATGAAATTTATCAAGAATGTTCTAACGATGAATAGACTTTTTTTTCAATTTGTAAAGAATGATCAATAAATACATTATCATAAATAATTATCATTGAAGTTATGAGAATATAAATGGGGATGTTAGTTTGGTATTTATTTTTATTTGGTTTTTCTTGGGGGGGGGTTGTTAAAATGTTTGATAAATGAAAAACTTCACTCAACCGTAGTCATAAAAAGTTACCATTGTACATCAGTAACGTAAAAATCTTGATAACTTTTTTGAAAAAATAGTGTCTTAATATTTAAAAAATATCTAACAGATCATCATGTGTTTAAAAGATGATAATTATTTTTATCATCAATGTATTATTTTTCAGAAATCATATAGTTTTTTTCTTTTAATTTTAGAGAAAAAACCTTAACTAAACTGTAATTTTTTTTATCACGAGGGGTTTTTTGGAGATTTTAAAAATTTCACTGATTGAAATCATGAGTCAATTGAAGCTAGACCACCATGGAAAACCTGGAAGCACTGGACGGCCGTTTCGTCCTAGTATGGGACTTCTCAGCAGTGTGCATCCACGATCCCACTTCAATCGACTCATGATATTAATCAGTGAAATTTCTAAAATCTCCACAAAACCTCTTCTGATAATAATCATCTGCTTACTAGTGACTGACTTCAAGAGAATCTCCTGGAGTTCTAGTGAGAAGCCGTTACCAGTATAGTTCAACCAAGTCTGTTGTGAGATATCAACTCACTGAAGACTACGGTGTATGGTAGCGCAATCTCGTGGATTGGTTGAAGTTAAACATTAACACCGTTGTATGCCGGCTCAGTGGTCTAGTTGGTCAAGCGCTCGCGTGCGAGACTGACAGGTCCTGGGTTCGAATCTTGTGAGGCGGGATCGTGGATGAGCGTTGCTGAAGAGTGCTATACTAGGCTGAAACGGCCGTCCAGTGTTTCCATGTTTTCCATGGTGGTCTACCTTCAGTTGACTCATGATTTCAATCAGTGTAATTCATTTAGTTAACTAAACTCTTTGAAGTATTTTAACAATAGATGGTTTACAAAATAGTCATGGATAGCTAACTAAATACTTAGGACTTAATAATGAATAGAATGTACAAATAAGAAAAACGGTTTCGAAATGTGATATATTGTGTTTATCTGATCAGAAATATATGAATATGACAGAATAAAATATGAACGGGAGGAAATGAATACGAGAATTAATGATATTTAAAACAAAAACAGACGAAAGTGATAAATAAAAGATATGGAAAACTCTTTAGCGATAAACGATAATTACACTACCCCGATCCCTTCTGCACTATTTCACCTATTTTTTTCAAATCAAAAAGTTGGGTGATTTCACTAATCAACCCAATTTGAAACAAAACTCAATACAATTATACTATACTGACATATTTTAATTTGATCGCTGCAGATGAATATATTTATATGTAATCAGATGTGTACAACGTTGATTTATTCATAGGGAAATCTAAAACTACTATGTCATAGATAACATGTCAGTCGCAGTATTAAAGCCATATTGATAGTAAAATAAAGACATAAAAAGTGACTGGTACTGAAAGAACGTATAAAATAAATCATGTACTAAGTTGTAAACCGTTAAACTGTAGTGGTTAAAAGACAAGTTCAAAATTCTAAATTCAATTATTCTATAATGAAGTTTGATCCTCATATTTTATGTATTTGAAATTATTTGATGTTTTATTATGAATACATCAATGAATATGTACACACTTAATAATACTGAGTTATAGATGGTGTGCCATCTAGTACAAAATCAAACAAAATCAGTTGCTATTTGCAGAAAAATATTTTGAACGTTTGGAACGAAAATTGATATTTACTTTTACAAATTAAAACTGAAGTTCTATGGTGCTCATAATACCCATGAAAATTGTTGAAGTGAGAAGTACTAAGTCGAATGCTTTCAGAAATGGCCGAACAATTTATATTTACATAATCTAATCTGTATATTTAGATGTTTGTATCATACTATTGTGATTTCTTAAATAAGACAACCTAACGTTAAACAAAGTGCTGACACGTCTCGGTTTTGAAATAGACTACATTGATAATTGAAAAGTTGATTTCCTCCGCTTAAACAAACCAAAATGTGTCAGCACCCTGTTTAACGTTAGGTTGTCTTATGTATATATTACTACAATAGCCTTCTGCAAATATATTACATTTACTTAACAATAATGGAAGTGTATCTGTCATCACTAGTAAAATAAGAAACTAGGTACTTGTTTACTTACAATATAATTTCCTTACAGTCATTAAACTTACTTGAACTGAAACGTGGTTTGATATGTCCAAGTTATTTCATAATTAAAAACATTTTCTAAAAGATTTCAAAATCATAGTATTTACCAAATTCACCTTTAGTGTTGTATTAAGGAAATAAGCTCAACATTATTCAGAGTAGTTGTGACATAAAAACCTCCTAAGGTAATCGATAAGAAGCTGTAAATTTATATTTTCATCTAGTGTAACATTATATCTTATCAAATATTGTTAAGTAACCTGATGAAATATTATATATAAGTAAACTTTTATATGTGTTAATTTGACTTATGAAAGCAAAATTGAAGATTTTTTAAGTTTGAAACCAAGTTGAAATCAAAATATTCTTTCAAAATATGCCTTATGTATTTCAGGTGATAGTAGTGTCTAAGAGTATTGATTAAATTTCATACATGAACTGTTTAATGTGAACATCACTAATAGTTTTTTAAAGATGACTCTAGTTTACGTTTAATTTGTGTCTGATGAAGCGTCTAGAAAGGAGCAAGTTCGAAATGCCTGAGCAAGTTCAAAATTAGATAGAAATTGATTATTAAACTGAAAATAATTATGTATAATTCAATGTAAACTTACTTTTAATTCACTTCGACATTTCTCTGGATCAGTTACATTTGGTATGTCATTTTTATTTTGTGTTAAACCAGTACTTTCCACCTTATCAGAAGGTTTGGCAGAATTTCGACGATTATGATGCTTTCCAGTGTTACCTGACCCACTGAGTATAGCTTCACTTTTTTCTCTAACATTTCTATGACCTTTACGTCTTGATCGTGGTAGAGATTTTTCATTTAGAAATAAATTCCCAGGCATATAAAATTCTTTATTCTCTGAACTTCGTATCTTGTAATGCGGTTGAGAATTTCTTGGAATAGTCCAATAATCAAAAGGACCATTGTTACCACCTCCTATTCCTTCACGGCTACCATTAACATTACTATGGAATTCATTTGCATGTGAATGCTCACGTCTACTTGGATAATAACCATGATTATATGTTTGTATATTTCTTGGTAATGGAGGACGTGGTGAGACAGCTAGTACATAGTCTTTTGATTTATTCGGTTTTAATACTTTCCAACTTGCATTGTTCAATGTTGTATGACTTTTACTAGATCTTTTATTTAATGTATCATTGAGTTGATTACGTTTTCCCAATGTTACATTAATTTGTGATCTAGAATAAGGTTCATAATATATTGATTCATCCGTTATATCAAGTTCATTAATTGATTGATCTTCACAATTAATATCATCATCCATATCATCAATCACTTCATCATTGTCAACATAATTATTTATATGTTTTTGATGTCTTGTTGTATTATTAGAATTATTGTTATGTGAATTATCAGTATGATATATATGTATTATACCATTAGGTGTTGTTGTAATTTTTTTTGTTAACACTCTTGTTGTATTCATTGTTTGTTCAGATTCTATACTATGTGAATCTAATTCATGTACTGTACTTAAATCATGATGTAATTCTGTATAATCATCAACATCATCATTATCATCTACTTCATAATTATCATTACCATTAATATGATTGTCAATAATATGATTACCATTTTGACAAATTTTATGGCCTATAAGATTCATTTCATTAACATAATCATCTTCATTGGATCGTTCAGTTTTGAAAGAATTTTTTCCAATTAAAAATGTAGCTTCATTCAATAACATAGTTGGTTCATTTTCATTCATATTAATTACTAATTAATTGACCAGTAAACAAAAGTAGCGTGATTCTTTTATTTCTTTTATAAATAATGATTCTAATAGAATTTTAATACATTAAACCTTTTATTTGAAATATTAGTAAATATGATAATAATGACAATAACACCAATAATTAAAGAATCTTAAATGATAAAATGTGTCATCACTATCTCTTTTCAGTAGTGAATGATAAAAAAAAATAGAAAAAAAAATCTATTATTATTCTATATGAAATAATCACTTTTATAAGAACGTATTTACTTGAACTTTTGCGTAGGCTTTATTAAAACTATTCTAAACAAAATAATAATTCATCATTATTACTATTAGCACATTTAAATAACCAATCAAAATTGTCAGACCTTGTCAATGAAGTGAAATCGTATTTGATTGGTTAATTTCCAATAATATCTTACACATATTTATGAATCAAGAATATTTTAGTATAGTACTATATTATTGTTTGAAGTTGTGTTGAATTTTTATTTATTTATGCATATGTATTTTCATAATTACATTCATAAACAAGTAATATATGCAAGCATTTATATGTACTAAAATAATAGTGATTAAGTATACTATAAAAAATGAATTGGATTGAGCAATAGAGAAGAATCTTTTATATGAAGTTTAGAGTAATAAAAAAGAAATACTTACTTACTTACTTACTTATGCCTGTTACTCCCAATGGAGCAAACATAGGCCGCCGACCAGCACTCTCCAACCCACTCTGTCCTGGGCCTTCTTTTCTAGTTCCATCCAATTCTTGTTCATTTTTCTCATGTCTATCTCCAGTTCTCGGCGTAATGTGTTCTTTGGTCTTCCTCTTTTCCCTTGGCCTTCAGGATTCCATGTGAGGGTTTGCCTTGTGACACAGTTGGGTGCTTTCCTCAATGTGTGTCCTATCCACTTCCAGCGCTTCTTCCTGATTTCTTCCTCCACTGGGATCTGGTTTGTTCTCTCCCACAGTTGGTTGTTGCTAATATTGTCCGGCCAACGGATCCGAAGTATTTTGCGTAGACAACTGTTAATGAACACTTGTATTTTCTGGATGATGACCTGCGTAGTTCTCCAGGTTTCTGCCCCATACAGTAGAACTGTTTTGACATTTGTATTGAGAATCCTGACCGCGGTGTTGGTTGATAGTTGCTTTGAGTTCCAGATGTTCCTCAGTTGTAAATATGCTGCTCTTGCTTTGCCGATCCGCGCCTTCAAATCTGCATCAGATCCACTCTGTTCATCAATGATGCTGCACAAATATGTAAAGGTTTTTACATTTTCCAAATCTTCGTCAATTGTGACTGGATTGGTGCATTCTGTGTTGTATCGGAGAATCTTGCTTTTCCCTTTGCGTATATTGAGACCTACTTCTGCTACACTGGTCGTTTTCTCCTGCATTTGTTGTTGCATTTGGGATAGAAGGGCCAGATCATCTGTGAAGTCTAGATCGTCCAACTGCATCCTATCTGTCCACTGTATTCCGTGCTTCCCTTCAGATGTTGACGTCTTCTTGATTCAGTCGATCACCAGGAGAAAGAGAAAGGGCGAGAGTAAGCAACATTGCCTGACAACGGTCTTTACTTCGAACGAGTCTGTCAACTGTCCTCCATGCACAATTTTGCAGTGTAATCCATCATAGGAATTCTGTATGATATTGACTATCTTCTGAGGCACGCCGTAGTATCGAAGAAGTTTCCATAGTGTTATTCTGTTAACGCTATCAAATGCTTTCTCGTAGTCAATGAAGCTGATGTGGAGCAATGAATTCCATTCGATTGATTGTTCCACAATGATCCGTAGAGTTACGATTTGGTCTGTACACGATCTATCCTTACAGAATCCTGCCTGTTGGTCACGAAGTTGGGCGTTTACGTAGTCTTTCTTCTTGTTTATTAATACCTTGTTGAAGACTTTTCCCGATATTGAGAGAAGAGTGATGCTTCTGTAGTTATCACAGTTGTTGAGATCTCCTTTCTTTGGTATATTGATCAGGTGTCCTTCTTTCTAGTCTTTTGGTACTTGTTCCTCATTCCAAATCTTATTGAAGAGAATATGGAGTACCTTTGCAGTTACTGCTACGTCTGTTTTCAGTGCCTTTGCTGCAATGTTGCCTGGTCCTGCTGCTTTGCCACTCTTGATTTGTCTGATGGCCATGCTGATTTTTTCAGTTGTTGGTGGGCCAACATCGATTGGGAGGTCCGTGGGTGCTGCTTCGATGTTGGGTGGGTTCAGTGGAGCTGGTGGATTCAAGAGTTCTCTGAAGTGTTCTACCCACCTGTTTCGCTGTTCTTCAATGTTGGTGATTATCTCGCCTTCTTTGATTTTCACTGGTCGTTCTGGTTTACGGTGATTTCCACACAGTTTCTTTGTTGTGTCTTACAGTTGCTTCATGTTTTCTTCTCTTCCAGCCTTTTCCGCTGTCATTGCTAAATCTTCCACATATTTACGTTTGTCAGTTCTAATGCTCCGCTTCACTTGCTTGTTTACTTCTGTGTATTCAGGTTGTGTCTTGGCTTTCTCTGCTCTTGTTCGGCTGGTATTGATTGCTGCCTTCTTGTTCCTCCTTTCTTGAATCTTATCCAGTGTATCAACAGTGGTCCATTCCTTGTGATGGTGCTTCTTGTGGCCCAGAACCTCATGACATGTTGAAGTGATTGCTTCTTTTGTCTCCTTCCAGTTGCTCTCCATAGTAGTTCCTTCTCCATTGAGTAGATCATGAAACGCCTGGAACTTGTTGCTGAGGACTATCTTGAATTTGTTGAGTTTGTCAGTATCCTGAAGAAAGGCCGTATTGAACTTTTGTGATGTTGTCCGCCCCGTTGTGCAGTGCTTCTTGAGTTTCAATTTCATCTTGGTGATCAACAAGTGATGATCTGATGCTACATCAGCTCCTCTCTTGGTTCTCACGTCCTCTATGGTCCTCCTGAACGTCTTGTTGATGCAAATATGGTCGATTTGGTTTTGTGTATGCGTTTATGTGGGAATATGGTGCCGCCAATGACCAGCTTATTGAAGGCACATAAGTTTGCAAATCTCTCACCATTTTTGTTCCTTTCTTCTAGTCTGTGTCGTCCCGTGATGTCTTCATATCCAATGTTGTCCGTTCCAACCTTGGCATTGAAATCTGCCGTCAGAATGGTCAGGTCCTTTGTTGGGCACTTCTCGACGATTGACTGCAGCCTATTGTAGAATTGATCTTTAGCGTCTTCATTGTAGTCGTTGGTAGGCGCATAGCATTGGATGATGTGCATTGAAATGCCCTCTTCGTTTTGAAGGAGGCTTTGATGATCCCTGGTCCATGAGATTCCCATCCTATAAGTGCCTTTTGCGCTTGTTTGGACAGCATCAATGCAACTCCTTGTGTATGTGGAGCATTTTATTCTTGATGGCCGGAGTATAACAGAAGCTCTCCTGAAGTTAGCCGTTGTTGTCCAACTTGCGTCCAATGTGTTCCACTGATCCCGAGCACCTCTAGGTTGTATCTCCTCATTTCTGCAACAATTCGGAAGGCTCTTCCGGTGTCTCACATTGTACGAACATTCCATGTACCTAAATAAATGGTTGCTCTGGTTGTCAGAAGGGGCATCGGCCTCGTAACTTCCGAAGGAATTCGGCTTTCATCATGAGGCATCATAGTTCTTCTAAATGAAGACCTTCTGACTCCCAGGGCAGAGTTTAAAAGGTTTGAATAATTTTTTCTGGTTAGCATTATTTTAGCGAATCAGTTTTCTACGGGATGGAGTCGCTAACCCCATGCCCAACCCTCCTCCTTTATCCGGGCTTGGGACCGGGAGTAGCCCCCGGAGGAACTCCAGGCGGAGTTAAACGACACTATATGTATCTACAGAATGATTAGCGTTTCTGCCGCTTAATTGTTCATACATATCGTTTGTTTAATCTTGTGCTACTATATTCATGAGGAGTGATGGTGATTTTAAAATTTTCTAATATTTTTTAGTATAATTTATTTTATTCACATTATTTCATGAATGTGTCTGTTGTAAACATCACATGAGAAAACGAAACAAAACTGACATAATGTATGTACTCCATGACGCTTAAATTAGTTCACAAGAACATAGGTATGTAAGATTAAATCCACTCTGCCAAAAATTGTTACGTTAAATATTTCATTTAACAATACTCTGTTTACATTGAGTTGAAGACATTCGGTGAATTGGGCTCAATTTCACATACTTCATTCATCTTATACAATTTTGCATGAGAATTCAGTAACTGAAAAGACATAAATGGTGTACTGAAAGTTCAAATTTTATGTACATATATGATAGGTTCTTTCTTTTTATATAAAATAAGTATTCATCACTGTAGTGGTGAATAGTCTATATATGAAATAAGATGAATTATGGTAACTTTAACACTTGAACTGAAAACTGCAAATCAGAATTCGGAAAACAATAAATTCACTTAGCATGCAATTAAATTTAGGATAAGTGTATTCAGTGTCTGTATAATTTATGTAATATAAGTCATATGTAAACCGATAGTAATCTGCCAACATGGATATAATTTGAGAAAAAAGATTTATTATTTATAGGTGATAATCTTTAAGACAAATCAATAAATACATCACTTTGTTTCAAAGAATCTTATTGTTTTCATTTAGATGGTAGATTTTATTTCTTTATAACAAAACATATTAGCACTATGCAGATATATTTTTTAACCTATTCCACTTTTGATAATGATAACTTTTTAAGTTAACCAAAAGTTAATTTTAGTAAAATAATAAATTAACTGAAAAAAAACACATTTTATTGTTATCAGAAGGGGTTTTGTGGAGATTGTAGTAACTTCGATAGCTGAGATCATGAATCAATTGAAGCTAGACCACCATGTAAAAACCGACTCAGTGGTTTAGTGGTTAAGCGCAATCGCGCGAAACTAACAGGTCCTTGGTTCGAATCCCGTGAGGCGAGGTCGTGGATGCACACTTCTGAGGAGTCCCATAATCGGACAAAACA